GTCGAGTTTGTAATGTGAAACTCAAAGGACAAATACGTGGCGTGGAGTTTAGAATGAATCAGCGACAATCAAGAATATAAAACATGAACGACAAATATAAAACACGCATGTTGAACCCTTGATGAAGCATATGAAATACAAGATGATAACATAAAAAAATTTACTCGAATGCAAAATTCATGTGATGAACTTCAAATACAAACCATCAATTTTGGCGGGGATGGAACGCCATAGACTAACCCCTCCCTTAGGCTTTTGCCGAGCTTCCTGATCAGTTTGTAATTCCTCCCGGGATAGCGGTGTCGGGGTCGAAATCTCCGGCGTAGCCGTAAGTCGATACGACGGTTCAGCATTCGATGTCTGGAAGTATGGTCCTGGTTATTTTGATGAATCAATAAAAAAATATTATCAGTAGACTCTGAATCTGAATTAATTAGCCAAATCAAGTAAGGAAAACCTAGACCGAGTTAGCATTCAATGCATTGTGTTGGGGATATATTAGCGACCTTATGTTTTGCAAAATCTACGACGGCGACGTCAACCGGAAGTGTAAATAATTTCTCTTTGGGGTTCTGTTCATTGGAGATTTCATTCAAAACATTGTTAGTAAAATCAACTCATTCACAGGGAAGACAGACTTTGAAGGCAAGAAAGCCCAAATTGTAGTTATTTACACTTCCGGTTGATGGTCGTCGTAGATTTTGCAAATCTTAAGGTGGCTATTTAGAAGATGGCTTCTATCTCAGTTTCAACTCGACACAGTTTTCCCCTCAACCTCGGAATGGCTAATAGAAGGACAATTAAAGGACAATACAGGGACTAATAGGTCCTTTGCAGTTAACGGTCACGTGTCTGTACTGGTGAGCAAAATTTATTTTATTTTAAATTGGTGATTCTTTTTAGCTACTTGTAAAGAACTGAATGAAGCGATGTGCAACCAGTGTGTTACGAAATGCGGTTTTATTACGATCTCTCGAAACAGGTTGTAGAAAGTGTTTGCTCACCAGTATATTTCACCCATGGGAATCAAGATGTTCATTCATTTGCTCTCAGTGAATTAATCAGACCCAAAAAGAGCCGTATCCGTTAACGTTGGGTTGTTCGTTGAACGCGCACCTTTTCCGATTAGACATTTTCAGCCCTTTCCCTTGTTCTTACCTTTTTCTGGGCATTTGATTAGATCAGTTTACGAATTCTCGCGTAATGTGATTGAACTTGCGCAGACTTGCCGCGTCACGATTGCGTTCGTGCAGCAAGCTTTTCAGTCATACGAAATTTAAAAAACTGCTCCATGCAATAAATGGACTAGGTCCTCAATACCAGAACCCACAAGAACAGAAGATTGGCACGGGTTAGGTCGTTTGTTCCAATTTGTAGGATAACAATGTAGGGACGAAAAGACTCTACAACATGTAGGTCATAATGCACAAGTTTTTTAAGAGTTTTGCCCCCGACACTGTGCCACCTTACAACTACATTATCCTCGCAGTGAAAATCGAGGCTAAGATCGGCATAACGCCCGATGAAGTCGTGGAGACGACGAATAAAGGAATGTCCCATAATATGAATACGCTGTTCAGCCATGACTTACACAGTTAGGGTGTAAAAGTAAAATTAACTTGCCTGATAATTTTAAGAGAACTTGCTCGACCGCGAGAAGGAAAGAGGCCTCGTGGTACTTAGACGCGCCTTAAGTACACTATTCATGCATCCTATTGGTCGACTTGAGATATGCGGATTCATCTAGTTGGATTACCGGATTTAACAACAGTATAATGTTTCGACATAAATGTCATTATGCTGTCAGCATAATGTTCTGTTACTACATACATTCTTCTATAATTTATTTCCCAAGGTACTTACATAGAAATCGAATTCAACAATTTTAAGAACACGTGGATGGTTTCTATATTGAATTATTAATATAAGAGTGAATATTAAATCAGTCATGCTCCTATTTTTGATATCCCTAGCTATTACTTATGCTCTTATCTTGAAATTCTTAAAAAAATTAAGATTATAAATTATAAGAATGAATAAAGGCTGGGCAAACGATAGAGTGCATGCCATAAATCCGTGAAAACAAGGAATAGATCCTTTTCGAGTTCCAAATTACCGCTGTGTTCCTTGATTACAGACTCATTTGTCCAGGCTTTAGCCACGCATGTTTAAATATTCACAAATACCAACGGTAAAATAAAGAATGCACAACTCCAATAATACAAACACTTGAAATTCGACGGACTACACAAAATCGCGGAGGCTAAGCCTGAGTGAATGAGTCTGCAATCAAGGAACACAGCAGTAATTTGGAACTCGAAAAGGGTCTATTGCACGACAAATTAGTAAGTTCAGTAGACCTCAGTAGACCGTAGACCTACAAAACTTTGCACTATTTTATACAATTTTGCTACTTAACTTATTCACAGATATATGGTATACAATCTAAAACTCTCTCGCGCAAGTAAACAAATTGTACCGTGTTCAACTCTTTAACGTTAGTTGCAGAAGTGAAATCGAATAACGAATTGCATCGTCGTTGGAAATGGTGTGATGTCCTTAGTAATGGAATGCGACTCGCATGAATACCGCTGGCCAGAATTCTATGTTGTGCGCTACCGTTCGTCCAAGCCTAGTCATTCCCATTCGCATCTCATATTAAAGCCCAAGAAATATGATAATCATTTCTTCGATTGCACGTTACGTCATCGTGGCCTCTCGGGGGAGCGTTGGTGCCATTTAACAAAAGATTTTTAATCAGCATCAATTGTTAACGGCACCACAATGGCCRCCATGTTTTTGTCTTTTAACTCTCTTGAGAATGCATGCAACCATCAATATATACGTTTTTGTAAGATCACGTGACAGTCGCCATCTTGGATGACAAAACTGTAGACACGTAGTATTAAAACCCGAGTCTCTAGTTACGACATCCAAGATGGCTGCCACAAAAAAAGTTTTGAAAAAATAAATACTGTTTACCAATTTGTCTCGGCTATCAGTAACGAGAGGCGACTGGGGATGACTGTTGAGGTTAGACCGCCATCTTGTCTCGATGCTGTCCCACTTTCATCTATTAGCCATTCTGAGGTTGAGTAAAAAGCTGGATCCAGTTGGAATTGCAGTGCATCGTGGGAATTTTTGGGGGCGTATTACGTCATCTTGGTAAACGTATGGCCCGAAAACAGTCCCACGATCCAATGCCAACTCGAGCCAGTTTTTTCTCAAATTCGGATTGGCTAATACAAGTTTGAATAGTAATAAGCTATCGTCTAAAGATAGAGAAAATACATTAAAATTGAAAAATCCTAAATGAACAAGTTTCCCTGCATTGTGTTTGAAATGGCGAAACCAACGAGCGAAGCTGCAAATCTGTTATCACCAAGTTCTCAAGGGAATTCGTAGCTAGATACAAACTCTACCTGAATCATTTCGGCCATTTATGCTACTCGATTATTTTTCGCCTGCATGTGACGTCATGGCTGCCATAACTGGATGAGTAAAAACATTTATTTTTGCTATTCTCTTTCCAAGTTTAAGGCCAGGTATGAGCCAAAAAGGATTCTGGTCGTAGTCGTATCAAGAAGCAGTAGTTACATACGAATGGCCTTTGATTTTGTTTGTGCATGGTTTTTCTGTCTGTCTGTCTATGTCTGTCTATTGAAAATATCTAACCTAATTTAATCATAACGGGAAGGCTATGCTGTCATAGCAACATATAATAGAATAAGGAATCCGGGTAGGTCACGTGACAACCTACCGCCATCTTGGAAAGCAAGAAACGTGAATTTTACGACGCTTGTAAAAGCTTAGTGGTCTGTAGGGCGCATCTAAGGGGGTTAGTGTTGGGTTCAATTGTATAGAAAAAAAGTATGTAGCTTGTACTCGAACATGGTAGGGTAAACACGTGACCAGCCCGCGCAAATGAATTCAAGATGTGAAACGTCAACCAATTTCCTTAAACATGCCATAAATATCACGTGATATATCACGCATATTATCTGGTAGCAGATTCTCGTACTCAGCCTCCACACACACCAAACTGACACAGGGTTCCATATGTATGTGCAGTGTTCCATCACCAACGATTTCAATTTGTTCACATTCCCACGAATAACATCTTGTTGTATTACGAAAAGTCCTATTAATTGAGGTGAATTGAATTTCACCGCATTTGCTTCATCAATGAAGCGTTAAATCAAATCTAGAGCTGTTTCATGACGAAGGCAATGGAATAGCGGTACTTGATGTGCTATTGCTGTTATTACTATCAATGGGGGACTTGGATTCCTCTGTAGTAGCCTCAGGCTCTTCGTTCAAACCAGGCTGCGTGGTGATTGGTGTTGAGGAGTCTTCATCATCTTTCATTGCATCTTCGTAGGCTGCCATATCCTCTGGCCAGTCCTCGTCCGGATTTGGTTTACATTTCCCACAACAGAAATTGAAACAGAAAAAACAACAACAGCAGCAGAAGTAACATCCGGTTATGACACCACAGCAGAAGAATAAGGCCTGAAAGGAATCAAGACAATTTGTCAATAAACACGTACATTTGTGATACAATCGAGGTTCTATGAAGCAGCCACTCTAGGGGAATCGTTAAGTGGCAGCAAAAGATAAGTTGGAAGAATTGAGGATGAAAGAAATAATGGGAAAAGGAAAGGAAAAAGAAAAATGATGTTATCAAGGAAGGAAGGAAGGAAGGGAGGGAGGATGGATGGATGGAAGGAAGGAAGGAAGGAAGGGAGGGAGGATGGATGGATGGAAAGGAAGGAA